CCATCCATCCATCCATTCATCCATCCATCCCCCATCCTCCATCCATCCATCCATCCACATCCATCCATCCATCCATCGATCCATCCATCCATTCATCCATCCATCCATCCATTCATCCATCCATCCCCCATCCATCCATCCATCCCCCATCCATCCATCCATCCATCCATCCATCCATCCATCCATCCATCCATCCATCCATCCATCCATCCATCCATCCATCCATCCATCACACTCTTGACCCATCTGCCCAATATTATTTTGCACACATGTATGACAGTATGCTCAATGACTCCTCTCATGGTTGTGTTGACTCACAATTCAACAGAATGACAAACACCTGCTTAAGAAGCAAATTACTTTTAAGCAAAAATGCATTTTCCAGAAAGCTGTCAGAATAAAAAGAAACCTTAGCTCATCTGTTGAAGGCCACATGGTGGTCTGCTGTGGCTCAGAAACTGACATCCATCTAAATGTAGTCTCATTTTTTAACAGGAACATCTGTGGAGGAATGAATCACCCAACATGTAATGATGATCCATTAAAGTAGTGCTTGGTAAGAGATGAATGAATCCCAGTTTGAGCTATCTTTGCTTCCATCTTGACTGTAAGGGAGCCCATGAGGGGCAATTCAAGTTTCATTTGTTTGGGAGGGAAGAGGGAGACACACCTGCTTGAGATCTGCACCGTTCTAGGTTTAAGGGTTTGTTTATAAGGTCTGTTATCCAGTGGGGTCGCATTAGAAAATCAATTATCTAAATAAAACAAGAATCTTAATCGTTTTTTACTCAGCATGTTTTAGCAATTATGATACTATCTGTGCTGAAAGGGTCAGTTCAACAATTTAATGAGCAGCTAATTAGCTCACAAGGACACACAGTTTTACAGGCAGGTGCATTATCGTGAGTTTCTTCCACCTCATATTTTTTTTGTTTTTTTAATTCAATCTGAGACTAACCATCTCTGCATGAACGGTCTCTGACTTGGCCAGTTTCAGAATGACTTGATACTTCACTAGACTCTAGAAAATATCTGCCATTATGTAAAAGCAGCGTGAAATCAATTCAATCTTTTCACTTGGCCTTAAAGAACCCTTGTTCAAAGGGAAAGAGCCGGCAAATGTGAAACTACGTATTATTGCTGCACCTTGTTTTGTTCTATAAGATGCTCAGTTAAAGTGGAGAACACAAGAAGTGGTGGAATTGTGTGGCCGAAAGCGGTCATGGTTTACATTTCAAGGATTATTGACTGATTCTTTGCCTTTTTAAATCCCAATGAAATATTAAGAAGTACCAGTTTTTCACATTTTCACTCCACACTTCTATATTATGGCATATTTTAAGGAATAAGGAGACAATATAGACCTAATGCAATACTGTAGAAATGGGATTTAAGTCTATTTCACCCAATGCAAAATGATTAATTATTTCAAGAACTATATTAAATTCAGTTGACCGTTGAATGCACTTAAATAACATAACAATTAAATTCCGACTTACCAAGTAATGATACTAAAAAAATAATAATCAATATAGTGGGACAATAATGCGAAGACAAAGGAAAACCAGCTACACTACAAAAACTAGTATTTCTGTCTAATATCTAATCAGAATATATCTATACACTTGATATCAGACCAAATAACTTAATGAGTTACAATGCAGTCAGATGAAATGTATTGTTTTTAGACAATGCATCTTTTTAAGACATATTTTTTTCCATTTTATCTCAGATGAAACAAGTTTGTTTTCATTTTATTGGAAAATCACCAACTTACAAAACTGAAAACCTTTGAGTCTTATTTTGCAACACAACATTTCTTGATTCTGGTAGAATATAATTCAAAATAAGTTTCCCCAGCTAATAACAAGATCTGACTCATCTCTATATATCCCATCTTATTTCAAGAATTTCCACTTGTTCTATTGGCAGAGATCTCTTTACTTATTTACTTAGAGCAGCATGTTTTCCAGTGTAACTGTGTTTGTTTCAGCTGTTTATGTTGATCAGGAGAGGATATTCAGCGTTCTCATGTCCCGGGGCAGAAGGGGAGAACTGAGTATTACTGAAGTGAAGAGAGGTTTGAAGTTTACCTTCTGTGGAGCTTTGGGGTCAGCGGTGCAGTTGGGAAGCGTTTGATGTTGCCTCAGTACGAGGTGTCGAGTGCAGGAGCGCATTGGCATTGAGCAGTTGGTGTACCTCCTTTGCTATTTTTAGCGTCAGTTCGCATGTGAGGGAGAGCGACTCAAAGCTTCTGACTACTTTCCCTGAAGCTCCTCGAAGCGACGACTGTCGGGAATGAAAGGCTTCTTAGTTTCACTGACAATGTCATTGCTTGTGACAACGATGGTCTTTGTCGTCAGCTAATAACATCGCAATCAGAACAGTTGATCTGAAAGGGTCTCCCACAGTCCTCCGGTACATCTGACGAGCCTCTAGTGTGCGAGTTTAACCTCTTATTTTCTCTAATTGTCTAAAATATGTTTTTAAATACGATGCTATGCTGATGATGTAGCGCTGTACTTTACAGTTAAGCTGTTGCTGCATAGCATACACATGTTGGTTTGAATTGTCTTATATTCAGTTCTTTAACTAACCAAAAGCACCTACGAAATACACCACTGTAATAATAAACCATATTTAATATAATCTTACTGCACAATATGTATTTATATCATATTATTTATGTGTATTAAATAGACTTCTTTAACCATTATTTTGTTTTATTGTTTATGTCTTATATAACTATTGCATTGTTGGAGGAGCTCGGGACATTATATTTTCATTGCCATTTCTACGCTGTAGCTTGCTTATGTGCACAATAAAACATTGAATCTAAAAATAGACGTGCCAAAATTGATGTGAGCGTTTCTACAGACCCAAGTACCAACGTGGGATGATGTATTCTATCATTAGGTCTTACTCTGGGTATTAGACCCAGATCTAGCCTACATCAGAACTTTATCACCACCCTTCTGCTGTAAAAAACTTCAAATGGGTGTATAGTATCTGGGGTATCTTCCGTGTTTTTCATTTTCATTGATTTTGAAATGTTATGGATTCGTTTTAAGGCTCTGCATGGGCCTTTAGAGGGATATCTTTTTGAACATTTAATCCTGTATGAGCATGTACCAGCGCCGATTGAATGTATCTGTACCCTGCTTTAACTGCCGGGGCATCAGCAGACACCTGAAGGATATCAGCCCATCAGCAGTGATGTTTGTCGGGGGTTATCAGCAATGCTGCTGTGACATTAAACTCAGTACAGTCAACGAGGTGAAGGTTTGGGGGGGCAGTAAACATCATTTCTTTAATCTTATCACAGAATCCACGATGAAGGGCGGTGAAGAGGAGGACTGGGGGGGGGGGATAAACTGTTTTTCCACACTCGACTCTGCCCCCAAAGGTCCAGATATAAAGAAAAAAAGGGTCAAAGTAAATCATAATTGAAACTTTATTGACAGTTTTGATTAGAAAGTTGTTCTGCATTAGAGTCCATTACAGTACAAACCAGGAACAGAAGAAGGCCACGCACTACGGCTGAAGGACAGAGTAGAAAAGGAAAAGGGCTTCTCAAGCAGACGTGTAAAGTGCTGGAGAGCAAAGACAGCTGGGGGGGGTGAAGAAGAGGGAAAACAACTGCAGAGAAAAGAAGGTGATGGAGGACATACTTGAATTATCAAAACAACAAAACCCTTCATAGAAGGAAAGGAATTCAGACCTCCAGCAGCTCTTTGTGTTGCTGCAAAGTCACCATGTGGGAAAAAAGAGTGATTTAAAACTGGATGCAATAAATTGATTATTTTTCCAATTTGCACCAACATTTTCTTAAATCAGGGATGACATCATATATTGTCTCAATGAGTGCCCTAACGTCCATTTTACAATACTGCATAAGACATGCCAAACTGGTGCTCAAACAAAAATAAAATCATAAATCAAAATCAAGGACAGGGAGATAAAACAGATCCCGGCTTTCATGAATCCCCAGGCAATCGGAGAATGCCACTCGCTGATTGGCCGAGGTCGTAGTAGCCAGTGGATAGCCCCGCCTTCTTCAGGAAGTGGGAGGCTGGAAGGTCTTGGAGGTGGCAAGCATGGCACGCACTTTGGCCATCAGATCCTGAATAAAGAGAGGAGGTTATTGTAATACACATCAGTCATTTGATAACTGGGGTTAAGAGAGGTGGGACCAGAATCGTATTATACACCTTTGGGTATAACAATAACACTAAATGGGGTGTAACGACAATCCCC